GGTCTGCTCCGCGCCTGGGCTCTTTTCAACGCTAGCTGTGTTGGTTCTGTTTCCAGATCAGGAAGCAGCTGATCCAGCCACTGCACTACCTTATGAAATGCCTTTATTTCCAGGGAAGCTGCTGGGAGAGCAGGATGCTTCTTTGCAAACTCAGCTCTGAGTTCAGGCTCTGAGCGCTCTGGGGAGGAGTGAGGCCCCGATCAGACCTCGAGGGCAGCGCCGAGCGGAGCCGCCTTCCCGGGGCGCGCGGCGGGCCGGCTCCGCGCATCCCGCATCCCGCATCCTGCATCCCGGCGCGGCCGCGACGCCGGGCGAGCCCGCGGCTCGTTCACGCGCAGGAATGGGAGGGTCAGGGCCATCCACACACACCGGCATCCTGCTGCCTATTATTTCCTGCCAGCGCTGGCGGCGCCCCAAGCCCTAACATGACAGGTGGATGGAGTTCACAAGGAAATCATGTCATGGGCCAGTTTTCCAGGAAAGCCGTTAACTCTATTCACAAGCCCGCGGATTCCAAAGGGAAGGCGGTGGAGCTGGGCAGGGGCCTGCGCTGCTCTTATTTACCTTTGTATTAACAGCTTCTTCGCTGCCATTGCTTGCTGCAGCCTGGACATCGCTCCCTGTCCGCAGGGTCTGCCTCTCCCAGGCTCAGTGCCTGCAAGAACCCCAGGGCACTGTCCCTGCGAGCCCCAAACGCCTCCAGGACTTCAGCCGGTAACAAACATCCCCTTGTCGCCAGGCCGGCAGGGAGGGGAAGAAATAGGAGGAGAGATTCAAGGTTGATGCTAAGCAGGGACCTTCAGGCAGTTTGTAAGAATGAATAAGGAGAATACAGTCAAGGATGTACCCAAAATAAGACTTATATGATTTGTAAAAGTTTCTGCCGCTCAACCAGGCAATGTACAAATTTGTGCAAAGTCCTATGGTGCATTGGTGACTTTATGCATCATGTCCAGCATTTGCGCTGGTGTGTCCTTCTTCTGCCTTTTCTTTTGTTTTTCCTCTCAGTTTTTAAAATTTAAGACTTTTTGTCTCTTAGTCCAGAAAGAATAGCAGAGTAGGAGGTGGTAGTAGTCAATCCAAGAAAAGTGTTTTCCAAAAAGGACATATTTGCCACAAATGCAAAGCTCTGGATGCATGGCTAGGACAATAGACTCCAACTGGCTGCACACAAGAGGAAGGACTAGGTCCTCTCTCATGTTAGTAGTGACATCAACAACGTGAATAAAAGCCAAAAAAATTGAGTTGATTCTGCAGTTTAAGATCATTGTTCTCCTATATATTTTAGCCTACAAGATTTAGTCCACACAGAAAGCTTTATCAGGATTTGTCTGGGTTTTCACATCATGCAGAGCAATTCTTTATTTGCTACTGTACCCTTAGCTACAAAAGCACTTTAGTGGCAAGGATTTATACTGATGTAGCTTAAAAGTCATACAAGCTAGAGGTATCAGAAAAACATGAGCAAAATGGTGGCTCTGCTCCTCTTTGGAGCTCCTTGTAAAAATACACCAAGTGGAAGCTGCCAACGCACCCGTGGCAGGCTCCATTTCCAGTATTTCCAAGGGCTGCAGCCCTGGACTTTGACTCTGGACAAGCAAAGCTCAAGCAGGAATACAGGATATTCCAGAGGGCTTCTTTCTGGCCTCCTCGGGATCTTGATGAGGCTTTCAGGGCTTTCTAAGCGTTTAGACCTCTGCTTTGCGCCCTGGCTCCTGTGGTTCCTATTCCGTAGTGATGCAGCAACACTGCACAGTCAGAGCTCTTTGGTAACAGGAGCCCTCCCAAGCGTCCAAGGCAGAGAAACAGAGCTCTTTGGACACAAACCCACAAAACTAGCCTTTTCTGCTCTCCTTTTCTCTTAAAAAAAAAAAAAAAAAAAAAGACCTGGAAAATTATGGTATTAGAACCACAGTCACGTACGACACGTGACAAATTATGTGACTTGGGAATCGTAAATTGGGCGTTTTGACTTGAACAAATATTGAGCATTGTCATACCAAACTGATTATTATTTTAAAATACTGTCCCAAGCCATAACCGGCTTTGTGTACAATAGCAATACAGGGTGTAGTTACAGACACAATTTCCTGTGCTTAGGTTTTGAAATTATTATTTAAGATCCCCGTAACATTTGCCCGGTGCACCAGCGCAATTCCCCTATTAGATAATTTTCTATCCTTGTGAGGGCAATTCTTTGTGCGCAACTACCAGGCCTTTCAGGAAGGGAGAGACAAGCAATTGCGACAATAAAATTTGCATCAGCTCCCACCCAGCCTCACCCAGAACCAAAATACCATTTGTCGCATTCAAAGGCCTTTCACACCAGAAGGGAAGGTGTTTCGGAACGGGAAAGTCATTCTGCTCTCTGCAGGGTTGCATCCTCCAGGCCCACTTTTGCCTTTCGGGTTCCCACAAAAAGCACCAAGGCGCAATTGCCGAACCCCAAATGGCTTCACATCCAAAATTCAAGGGATTGCATTAAACCCCAAAGCCAATCTGGGAAGCACAGAGGCTGGGATTCCTCACCATAAATTATCATTTTGCTCCTCAGAATGAAGGGCAAGTAAGGACAAATTCCTGCCCAGACGTTCGCTCACGGTTTGGTGCGGAGGTGCGTGTGCGTGGAGCTCGTCTCACGAGGATGCAGCCCGTGCTCCATCCCGTGGTTTGAGCTGGAGGAGCCCTGTATTATGTAGAGGCACCTCGGCCTGTCGGTCAGAGGGTATTGCCAGAGCCCACGGTGGCGCCGGGAGCGTTGCTGTGCTGGGGGATCAGTCCTAGCACGTCTGTAATGCAGCCTGGCACAGCTTCCCTGTTCTTTAGTGTCTGAACGCCGCACAGTCAGACAGGGGCTGGTGCAAGCGCTCTGCTCTTCCCTCACATGGGTTAAACACAGAGCAGACACGAGGGAGATTTCTAGCAGCGGAGGGAGATCTCCAGCCAGCAGCCCCCATGCACCCTCACGCAGCCCTCCTGCGCACCCGCTCGCACAGCTCGCTGCCTTCCTCCTCCGAGCTCGCCTCTTTCCTTGTGAAAAAACGGCACCACGGGGACCCCGCGCTCCCCTCACGGCCCACAGCGCTCCATGGGGAGAAAGAACCGCGGAGAGGAGAGGGACTCGGAGCTATTGTGTTCCCAGGGGAGAGAAGATAAACAGTCCTGCTTAGCGTATCCACCTTTGCTGATGTCAATCACTTTTCTCATTTAAAACAGGAAAGACACCACTTTAGTCCACCTGTTGTATTATTTATCATGCTATGCATTTCCCATGAATTGTCGCTCATGCAAAACCTGTACCTCGTAAGGGGACACCCTAATATTTTTAATGACCTTAAGCGAAGTGATTGACACTAGATACCGGTGTCAGATGTTCTGGTGACGCAACATGTTCTCCCAGCAGCAGGAAAGCTTCCTGCCGTGATTAAGTGAGAGCTATGGAAGTGCTAAAATGTGTTGTCAGCTTTCCTCTGATGCAAGTGATTTTATTATAGCGTCTGGTAACCATGGAGCGTGGCAACGCAAATAGTGACACCAAACATCCCCTCCCATACATGTAGCCATCTCTATTTAAAACATGCAACGCACTTCGCAAATCCAGGGATAAGTTATGGATGTAACAAGCTTAAACCACACAGGGCAGAGGAAAAGGCGGCACCGAAGGCAGGACACCGGGGTGGTTTTGGCAGGAGACGCGCACGGCGCGGGGACAACCTGCCCAAGGCAAGGCCCAGGAAGAAAAGAACAGTAATAAAGAAACCACATCAGCCCTTGCAATCTGGGGTGGGTAGGAGCAAGAAAAAGCAGCCTGCGAGCATCTCCTCTGCCTTGGACACCCTCAGAAACACGCGCTGAGGTGGACGCCTGTGCCTTAGCCCAGCACTGCTTGTCCTTCACAGCAGGGGATGAAATAGGTGGTTTTGCTCCAGCTTGGGACCAGCCCTCACTTATTCATTACCTGAGAAAGACTGGAAGGCTTCTGGAACACAGGATTTACAGAATCAAAACATCTCGGCCATGTACAGCGGCACCGGAGACCTGCATTTTCACTCAGATTCATAATCCCAACACTCACCCAGCAAACACTTAATCCACGACTGACCTTGCTTCCATGAGTAACTCTCAATAACTAGATAAAACTGACTATGCCAATAGGTGTCTGAAGTACTGACCCTATCATTTCTCAATAATTGTGTTGTTAATGAAACTGCAAGAGGAATGGGCTGTCAAATCAAAATCCATGCTCTACTGGGGTTCTGGGAGCAGAGCAGTGGGATGTATGTTCATGGTTACTGTCACAGCTGTTGTTCTACAAGAAAAGAAAAAAAAAACATGAAGTAGTCGAAGTTGAAGGTACAAGTTAACCTCATAGCAACTGAAAAAAAAAAGATTTTCTAAAGCTCTAGCAGCATTATTATTTTAATGAAATTTAATTTTTCATTTTATAGGAAAATAATGAAAAGTGCTAAACCTGACCACTTTAATTTACAAAAAAAGTCTCATGTATGAAGCTATACTCATACCTCGTTATTTAGGTTAGACAATATAATTACACATTTCTACCTACTCCTATTCAATATCAAAACAAAATTAATATTAGTTTGTTTTAAAAAGGGGGAAAAGTACCACAGATGTCAGGAGGAGAAAAGGTTACCTAGAATCTAAGGATCAGCTTATTGAGCAATCTGCAGTTTGTCTGGGTGTTATTGCTTTTTTCTGAGCAATAACGTTCTATTGTCACGGGCAACCTGCCCAAAACGCTGCAGTCACTTCAGACGCTGCGACTTCTCCCTGCATCAAATGTCACAGTATTTAAGGAGATCTCTGGCATTTTAAGTCAGTTAAAATTATTTTCTTCGTTTTCACAGACTCCCTTTCCAACATGATCAGCATGTTGCAGAATGCTCTGGAGTGAGTTATGACGACATCGTTTTCTATGAAGGAAATGATTTTTCCTCTGTCTTGGAAAGAATTACCACTATGTCTGCAGTAAGAAAAATATTAAGAGCATTTAAGGAGTTTTTCGATTCTTTCTTAATCCATTCCATTTTCATCCAGTTCATTTCCAACATTAAATTAAATCCTGCAGTGTGACCTATTGATAAATAGCCAAGTTGATTTACAAGGACTGTCTTCTGCTCAGCCTTCTCCTGGGTGTCTTTACCCAAACAAGGTTCGCTGATGCGCCACAAGCGCTGTCTGACTCTCCCGCCTCTTGGCTTTCTTATTTTGCTGCCTGATTTTCCAGCACACGGCGCTCAAAGCCAGCAAGAGGAGTCCCAAGGACAAGAGGACCAGCCCGAACACCGAGATGATGGAGCCATGGGAGTTGAAGCTGTAGGCCACGGCAGTGACCACGACGCCGGCTATGAGGATGACCACCCCGAAGGGGACGGTGCAGCGGTAGCAGGAGAGCTCCGCTCCCCCCGTGGCTGCCGTCAGCTGGCACTCGCTGACCAGCGGGATGGTGGTTATCACACACTCGTTGTTATTGCTCTTCTCAACAGTCACAGGATCAGGGTGCTTCGGCGCTCCCAGGATCTCTTTAATGGGTTCGTTTGTCATCTTGGTTTTCTTGGGTTAGTCAATTCTGAAGCTAGAGCAGGCTCTGCTGACCATGTGCTGTGCTGTGGAAAGAAGAGCACATATTCAATTAAGAAGCATTTACTGTTACTTGACAAACTGGGATGCACAAGAATTCCCCTGGGGACCCCAGGCTCTGCCCCTGCAACAGTTGGCACAGCTTAGACTCCCAGGCCAAGGGCAAGTTCCCAGACACCTACTGTGGAACCATCACACTGGAAAGGACAAACTGCTGCTGATGCTCTAAACCAGCCCAGTTCTCTTCCCTCGTGACTCCGGGCTCTGCTGCCCACCTTTCACGTCAAACTTGCCAGGGGCAAGCAGAGCTGTTCTAGCGTCACGGAACAACAAACTCTTTCTCAGAGAAGTTGTTACTTAGCAAAGTATTCAGATGGGTCTGACTAGGCAGAGTCCTTACAGGCCCATGAGACCATATCCATGCTGCTTTCCAGAGGGAGATTTACAGCAAGGGTCACCCATCCTTGTTGCATTCCTCTTGTCTCCATACACACACACGCACAGCCCGACTGCCTCTGCTTTATGGGGAGGAACAGCTTTTGCCTCCACCTGGGCCCCCCGCAGCCCCCCTGGCAGGGCTGGGGCTGTGGTGGCTGCAGGGTCGCACACCAGGACGCACGAGCAGAGCAGCAGAGCACCCCGGCGCGCTGCAGGGTCTCGTGCAGGGATGGGTGAGCAGAGCGCCCCGGTGTGACACAGGGTCTCACACAGTGACACACGAGCAGAGCAGCAGAGCACCCCGGCGCGCTGCAGGGTCTCGTGCAGGGATGGGTGAGCAGAGCGCCCCGGTGTGACACAGGGCCTCCCACCAGGACACATGAGCAGAGCACCGCCACGCGGGCAGGGCCCGCACTCTGTGGCCCGGCGGCCCTTCCTGCGGGGCAGCTCCCGGGACGGTCTCCATCCCTCCCCAGCACGGGCTGTGCAGCTCTGGCTCTCGCGCACTGTCTGCAGCCCAGACAACAAGGAAGGCTGTTGGCAATGCAGAGCGCTTTTATCACTTTTATCACCTTCACATCTGTGACTAGGAAGTTAATTGCCAGATACTTGTATTCTCCTTTTCCTTTCCCACCACTCCCACCCCTGTTGCTAAGATATATCCCTCCATTGTGGAGGGCCCTTGGGCTTGTGTCTCACTGCCTCCTGCAACTGACTGCCTGGGCTCTGCGAGCAAAAGGACTTCACTGTTCTGAACACGCACGGCCAGGCTGTGCCCTGCGCCCGGTCACGGGTTTGTACGGGTGTTCCTGAACGCTGATGCCAGAAGGAGAGCTGAGCTCTGGTTTGACAGCCTGTGTCCGGCTGTCCTAAGGACACACGGTAGGCTCAGCGTTTCACACAGACGCACAGTTGTCTGTGGGGCTCAGCCCTGCGGGGTGCTCTGCACCGCCAGGAAGGGAATCCCGTCCCCACCTAACGACAGCAGTTGACACGGAGGATACGTGGTACCGCTAAGGGCAGGCAGGGAACCTGATCAGAACCAGACAACGCCAGCGTATCTGTGCCAGCACCTTGGTACCTCGTCCCCAGCCACGACCCAGCTGAGAGAGACCAGGAAAGCCTGGGATTGCTGTGTAAGACTATCCCCACGCTTTCCTGTATGAAAATCACACCGGTGTCATTATGCTGCTGTGTAACCAATCTGGAAAACATCGCAAAAGTTCTGCATGCGGGGAGAAGTTGGCCCCAGAATGCCATCTTTTGAATTGTATCATTACTTGAATTCAGTCTGTTCAATGTTTTGTTACTAATTTGAAGAAAAAGAATATTTTGCCTATAAAATATCTCTTTGTTCTAAACATATTGTAATAACTATCCAAAGCTCTAAATATTTTCTTTACCAATGAAAGAAACAGGGAACCCTCCCACTAACTTGAAAAGTTTTTGGATAATGCATGACCAGTTTTGAAGACTTCAACATTTAATCAAGTATATTCATGCCTGTCTCCAGAACCCCTGTCCCTCTGCTTCAGATACATGCCCAATATGAATTGTATCTCTCAGTTATCCCATGCAGAGATTTATGAAGTAAGGTATATACACAGCCAAAACTAACACAGATTTAAAAGCCTCCCAAATTACCAAAATTAAGTCAATGGCAAAGTACCAGTGCCTATAATAGGATGCAAGTAGACAGACGCTCATGAAAAAACAAGCAGCAAAGCTCTATTGAAATACTGCAATTTAAACAAGCAACAGACCCTATTCAAAATGTGAGTATTCACATTTTATGTTTATATTTTATTTTCACCCCCAGAAAACAGGGCACTAGATCCTCACTGCATGCACAGACACTCTGACTTATGCGAACAGGTGACTTGGTTCAGGTTTCAGAGCAAGAAATTTAGGCAAAGAGACCAGCAAACACCAGCATCCTCTCACTGACTGTATTAGAAATACTTGCTCAAGGAGCTAGTTCAGCTCACAGGAGGAATGTGTTTCTGAAGCAATCTGTGGCTAACACCAGATGCAGGTGAGAGGAAAGTTCAGCCCTGGAGCATGCAATATTCACTAAGAAATATAGGTTAAGATTTACTGAAAAAAATCTCACACTCCCCCCTCCAAAAAAAAAAAGAAAGGAACCCACCCTCAGCACACACACCTACCAGGTCCAAGCAAAATCCATCGTCACAAATCACCCAGCTTAGGAAGCAGAGAAAATCTGTTCAAGACGTGTTGTCTCTATTCAAGGCAGTCGGGCAGCAGAAAGAGTCGTCCCAAGCTTTGAAGTGTCAGATGCTGCTGGGCAATGAATCGGAGGTGACAAACTTCCAGCGTGGAGGTTCCCTAAGGAGAGAAGCATTGGGGTGTTAAGGAGCCTCTAAGGAGCAAAGCTTCTTTTTGAAGAGTTTCTGCCATACTCTGCGTCCGGCTTCCAACCCAACAGAGCAGGGGATGTCCCACCTCCCGCTATCCTGCTTGGCTTCTGCCTCTTTTCTTGGCAGCAGCCACTGATTTCTGGCCTTATGTAAGTTTTTCCTTTGATGATGTGACGTCTGGATGATGAGTGTCACAAGCCAGGCAAGCCCCTAGAAAGCGGTAGGCAGGATACGGGAGTTCACATGAATTTCTGCAGTTAAAAGTTCATTTAGCTCTGTTTCTATTGCTCACTTCATCTAGGGGAACCAAACAACTAAATTACAACTCAGATCACTTAGATTTTGTGTCTTCTTTGCCTCTAGTTTCTTTAAGCAAATCACTTCATCACTGTGCACTTCATTTTTCCTGGCTGTAAGCTGGCAAAGACAACATGCTTCCCATTATAAAAGACTTTTAAATCTATTCTGCTAGGTAATATAATCTCTAAAAAACCCTCTCTTAAAAATAAAATCAAATGAAATAAAAGGCCAACTAATTGAATCCAAGAGCTCAGAGTAATACACATAATTCCCTTATATTTAATATCCATCAGCCTTTTTGTTTCCTGACTTTTTTAAACCAGGATTTGTAACTCGGACAGGGAGTAGGCAGAACCTGCAGCAGTGCAGAGTGACAACTCCACAGAGAGCCCAGGGATGGAAACTGTTATCAGCTGCAGAAACAGCTGTGAAATCACCAAGCAGCTGGGTAAAACTTACAAAGCAGCAGAGATTTATGTTGCTAATCTTATTCAACATTCCCATTCTAGAGTGCATGAGAATAAATGTATATAATAATAACTTTAAAATGAGGGGGAGGGGAAGGTTTATCTGGACTGTGCTAACATTTCATAAGCACAAAAAGCTTCTATTCTTCTCCAGACGCTCCTAAGAAGAAGCCTGTAAGATATCTAAAGTTTATTTAGCTGATTATTGAAGCTGCCTAATAATAAGGAAGTCTCCTTGCTCATCTCCTTGAATATACATCCCTGCACGCAAAACTAGCCAACAGCTTGGCTTCCTGAAAACTTTGGAGGAAAACCCAAAAAGGAAAGCTTTCAATGAGTAACCTAGATTGCAGAAAAATAAAAGCAGACCTTGAAACTGTCTTATAGCCCAGAGCTGCTCCTGGAACAAGGATGGTTGCACTAGTAGGAAAGTCTCTCCCTGATTGTGCTCCTGAACCACTGATTTAGCATCATTCCTTGAAAAAGATGAATTGCTTTGTCAGCATTTACCTGTATTTGCCCTCCAGTATGTACAGCTTAATTATTTTAAGCAATGTCTTTATCAAAATTGACTGACAAGGCAACTCCTCACAGCCAGGATTTCTTCCCCCCGCTCCTTTTCCCCTTCTCTCCACAAAGTTGAAAAGCAGAAACACATGAAATGTGTCAGTTAAGCCTGCAGGACACTCACCCTGCTGCAGTTCAACGAAGGTCTCAGGAGTCTGCCCATACCCCACACAGCCCCACGCGACAGCGGAGCGCTGCTATTTCCCAGCCGCTACAATCCTAGCACCCTTTATGCATTTTATTCAGAGCCAGCGGGATGCGACTAGGTTTCTGCACCCATATCTTGTGCAACCCAGAAGAGCTGCTTTTTTGCTTATGTAAAATGCTAATAAGTAATAATGCCCATGTTTGTGGTTTTGCATTAAAGTGACCATGGGAAAAAAAAAATGGATAAGGAGCCGTCCTGTACTGAGGGGAGAGCCGGAGTTTCTTTAGGGTTTAGCCGACGAAAGCGGCTCGGGGCCGCGGCTCCTCCCACGGGGCCCGCGGGCCGCAGGATCAGCCCCCGACCCCGAGCGGCGGGCGCGCTCG